TTTTTTTTTCCTTTGTGTTAAAATACCTTTTTAGTCGTGACAAAAAAAAAAAAAACCTTTTTAGTCAATAGTTTAGGAAGTTGATCAAAAAAAAAATTTTTGATAAAAAAAAGTCAATAGTTTAGGATTAGGATTTGAATATATCTACCAATAAAAATTAACAATATTAAGTGATTGTAATATGCAAATCATCATAGCTAATATTGTGAAATATCTATATCTAAATTTATGGATAAAAAAACTAAAAATAATAAACTTGTCCATTTTTGTTTTGTTTTGGAAATGATAGTTTTATAATAGTCTAAATTTATGTCTATTTTCTTTTATAAATATCATTTTTTGTGTTACAGTCAACTATCTCAATATACACATAAAAATTGATTTAGGGACATATATAAATAAGAAAAATATGCATTTTTAATTGTATGTTCTATACACTCCACAATATATGTATAAGCTCATTCAAAAATTTCCCAATAACAAGTAATTCAAATATAATTTAATCAACCCCACAAATCAATTAACGAGCCATTTGAATTAGAAAACAAAAAATAACAAGTAAAACAAATATAAGTTTAATTAACCATCAACAAATTTTTAAATTTTTTTATGGAGTTAAAATAGTGTTAATGAGAAGAGCATCCTTGCAAAGCTTCAAGAAGTTTGTGTTCCTACGAGCAAGCTCTGCATCATTACCAGCACGTTCGCTCAATGCACTTTCACAAGCTTCTCCATCGCTAATCGCGGTATTGAGCCAAATATCGACATCGATGAACGAATTCGCGAGCAAAGCGGCTAGAGAATCGTCTAGTTGCGCGACCGCGTCTAAGTAGTTTTTACCGCAATCGTCTAGTGTGTCTTCTAAAGCCGGTTCGAGGTTTCTCTGCTTTAGTTTGGCTTTGATGTAGAAAGATGTGTCCGAAGCGTTTGTAGACGCGATGCTTAACGCGATCACGCCGAGTTTAGGTGCGGTTGCGGTTTGAAATTCGGGACGTGACATTAGGCTCGATACGCAAAACGTTTTGTCTTCGGATTTTTCGCATAGTTTTTCAACTAAGGCTTTGCCTTTCTCGGTGAATGTTGGTGGTGGTGCTTTTCCGGCGATAACCACCGTGACGGAGACGGAGAGGAAAAGAAGAAAGATCCTTCCGACCA